CTCCTTGCTGTAATATACTAAATATGTTTCTATCACATTTTTACCATTGCTATTTCCATATACACAGGCTTGCTTTTATTTTATTCGGGTCTCTGTACAAATATCATTTATTCAGAAAGGACTTTCTGAACCATCTTATTTGAAGAGCAGTGCCTCCTCCACAAGTCGCTCCCCACCCCAGCACCCCACATTCTCCCTATCTTTCTACTACACTCATTGTTCTTCTTGAACTCTGTACTACTTGATGTTATGTTATATATTTATTTGTTTATTTTTCTTTCTTCCAATAGCATGTAAGGTTACTAGAGTCAGGGATCTTATTTTATTTTTCTGCTGTGTCTGAGGCATTTAGAACACTTTGAAACTTGGAAAAATTAAATTACTGCTGGTGAGGTGAGCCAAAGTTGCAACTCCCTCCAGGAAGACTTTTGATAATGGTAAACATTTGACAGATGGCCTGGAGTTATCTTGTTCTAACAGTTGTTACCGTCTAAGTAACTATTTTTGATAAGGAAACAGAAAGAACATTTTGTATTTTTATGTTTTAAACCTAGTGGTAGGGAGACAGGCCCATAATAAGTGCTTAACAAATTTTTGTTGAATAAATGAATTAAGAAATGAAAGAATGAGTGCAAATATATCTCTGTGTGTGATATATGAATTACATAGAGATCACATCTCAAATTACTAGATCTTCAGATAATTTATTTTGCAGTTACTATGCCTCTTTGGTTAAAAATATTATTTAATGAACCAAAATAATTTCACTTTGCTTTAAGTAGTAAAATGATTATGACATTCTTTCTCTATGTTTTCACTAGGTTTAAAGCAAAATAACATTCTACCAATCTAAGAAAAATAAGAGTGTATTTTAATTAACTGGTCCAGTAAAAGAATCTGCCTGAAAAACAGGAGACTCACAGGAGCCGGGGTTCAATCCCTGGGTCAGGAAGATTCCCTGGAGGAGGAAATGGCAACCCACTCCAATATTCTTGCTTGGAAAGTTCCGTGGATAGAGAAGCCTGGCAGACTACAGTCCATGGGGTCACAGAGAGTCTGACATAACTGGGCGTGCATGCATGTACATGTATGAACTCTTACAAATATACTTAAATTGTAGATATAGAACCATTTAAGACAGAGCTATCTGTGTTTTTCAAGCCCTTACACATCAACTCCTCAGGACAGAAATTTCTGGAAAAAGTGCATATCCACAATAAAGACATCATAAGACAATTTATTGAATTTTGGAGTGGATTTTGGTTTTTTTATTCTTGCATTTTTATCATACAAAACAATTAGAGCTTTACTTTCTTGGACATGAAATTCTGTCCTCCCTTTCCTGGGATAGTTGTGTTAGACTCTTCTTTCTCTCTTTTCCATTTCACACAGAAAATACCAAGAACTGACTGCAGACAGAGCCGGAGCTTGGAAAGGCTCTGAGTCGAGTTGTCAGGAAATGTGGTTTCCAGTCTCCAGCTGTGTGATCTTGGGCACAGCACTAACCTCTCCATGTCTCCAAAAAAAAGAGGGTATTCTTGTTGACCTTTATGATGGTTTTTCACTTTACAAGTCTCTGGTTTATAAAGTTGATATCAATTTATTATAGCATGAGATTTCCTCCCACTGAAAAAATACACTCTTCAACACTGCACTTTACTGATGAGACCAAAGTAACAAGTTTTAAAATCACTTGGAATCCTAAATTTTTGCCACTCTGTATTCATATCCTTGTATTTAAAAAGTCAGTTCTTCATTAGGAAATCACTTGAGTTATGTAAGGTATAAGCAACATTCAGTAGGAGTTGGTTAATTTCTTGCATGAGGAAGAATGGGACAAGTGCTATCTATTTGCTGAGTTTAATATGCTGGGTTTAATATAGTTGGGGAAAATGCAGGACAAAACCAAGGTTTGCCTTACAATGCACTATTGTATTCAGAGACGGAGCATTAGTTCTCTTTTATAATATGCATTTTACGTGTTGGATTTCCCCTGAGGATGCTCACAATGTGAAAACACAGGATACTGACTCCAGATAGCTGAGGAGCTTATCACATGAATGATTTCAGTGAGCCCAGACTTTTGCATCTTCCCATGTATAGAAAAGTGCTAAATTCCTTAGCCTGACATATCTGATCTTCTTTAATTAACAATAATCTTTTGATGTTCAGACTTCCTGCCTTTTGTTGCAAAACTCCTGTTCCCCGCGCCTCCTTGAAGCAGTTCTCTCAGGGTTACAGGAGATGCTGCCTCCCGGGTTTGAGGCCCTAAAAATTCCCCTTGACTAAAACATACCTCTTAATGATGACAGCAAAAATTTTCATCGATGTCAAGCTTTTCTACAATTGACTTTATAGTATAAGGCACACATTTTAAGTGCACAGTTCTATGACTCGTGACAAATGGACCAGCCATGTCCTGTGGATTAAATTGTGCCCCCTAAAAAGATATGTTGAAATCTTAATCCTAGTAGTCTTTCAGAATGTGACCTTATTTGAAGACAAGTTCTTTACAGAGGTAATAAGTTAAAATGAAGTTATTAAGGCAGCCCATAATCTAATGTAATTGGTAACCTATGAAATGGGGGAGTTTGGACCCATGCACGCAGGGAGAACGGCACGTGAAGTTTGCAGTGATGCTTCCACAGGCCAAGCAACTACCAGAAAGTGGGATTTTCTATGGGATTTTCCATGCCAGAATACTGGTCTGTTCAGTTCAGTTCCTCAGTAGTGTCTGACTCTTTGAGACCCCATGGACTGCAGCACGTCAGGCCTCCCTGTCCTTCACCGACTCCCAGTGCTTGATCAAACTCATGTCCATTCAGTCGGTGATGCCATCCAACCCTCTCATCCTCTGTCATCCCCTTCTCCTCCCACCTTCAATCTTTCCCAGCATCAGGGTTTTTTCCAATGAGTCAGTTCTTCGCATCAGGTGGCCAAAGTATTGGAGTTTCAGCTTCAGCATCAGTCCGTCCAATGAGTATTCAGGACTGATTTCCTTTTTGGATTGATTGGTTAGGATCTCCTTGCAGTCCAAGGGACTCTCAAGAGTCTTCTCCAATACCACCATTCAAAGGCATCAATTCTTCGGTGCTCAGCTTTCTTTATAGTCCAACTCTCACATCCATACTGGACACTGGAATGGGTGGAGTGGGTTCCCATTTCCTTCTCCAGGGAAACTTGCAGGGATCAAACCACAGTCTCCTGCACTGCAGGTAGGTTCTTTACCACTGAGCCATCAGGGAAGCTCTTAGGTGGAAAGTTAAATCACTTCAGAAGAAGGACTCAGACCTTCATTGAAGGATACAGGTAGTATATCCCTGCATCAAGGGAGCAGGTTCTGCTCCTACATGGGAGTGGGAGAAGGGCAGGGCAAGTTGTCAAGGCCGTGGATGAGAGGTCAGATTATTATAGCAGGATTTCCCACCAATTCAGGACTAAGTTCTCAGTAGGCAAGCAGCTGGCCAAGGCTCTCGCAGGCTCATTAAATGGGGGCTGAGAAATAGAACCAACACAATTCTCAATTGCAGTTCCTTATAGAAGGTCTTTCTTGGTTGGGATTGAATCAGTAGTTGGTTGGGACTGAATCTGACAATTGAAGGAACTGATTCTTATAGGAGGAGGGAGCTGAGGAGGGGTTGGAAGAGAGGGACTAATATAGGGTGATCATGACATAGGGTGAAGAGCCTTTCTGGCTTACCTGTGCCCGAGGAGATTCCTGGGACATGGGCCTCTGAGTTGCAAAACTAAGACAGTCCTGTTTTAACTGCTGGTCACCCTATGAAGAACTGTATTCGATAGTCTTGGTCAAATGCCTCCTCAAGTGTTCCTTAGGGTTAAATATGAAAAAAAAAAAAAATCCCTTATGCAAAATGTTTCATGTAGTACTTTTTGAAATGTGTTTTTTTTAATGAAATGTGGTAATTTTAAAAATAATTTTGGTAACTAATATTCACATTTTATTGACATATTTCATTATAGAATCTGAGTTTTAAAATTGAGATGGAAATTAGATGTCATTTAATTTTTCATTGTGTAAATGATAAAACTGAGAGTCATAAAGACTTGAATAACTCAAGTTTGTAAGCTCCTTAAGGGCATACATTTTTTTGGAGTCCAAAGTCTCTGCTGGACCTCATCAATTTTTTTCTGCATCACCTAAAGAGGCTTCCCTTTTCCTCTTGTCAAGGGCCTTTAGAAAAGATCCAAAGGGCTCTTGTTATGATCAAAATAACATTTTTTGCCTCTTTTTTTTGTCTGTATGAGATGATGTATGTGAACTACATTTCTTGTGGACATGATTTCACAATATATGAAGGTCAAATCATTATGCTGTATGCCTTAAACTTACACAGTGCTGTGTGTCAATTATATCACAATAAAATGGATAAAAAAATGAGCTTTTATCACACATAGGCTAGTGGTTCTTTTTTAAGTTAGATTTCTTCAACCTTCTTCACAAGTTTCTGGTGAAATGTACCACAGAAGCCTAAGGACATTGGCGTGATGTTTCTATGACAGTTATTAATGTGGACAGCTCATAGCATGAATACCGTTGGCACCGTTTCTGTAGTTTAAGAGGGTATGAGCCAGTGGTTTAATTCCAGTTTCTTAGGAGGGTTGAAAGGAAGAACACCATGAGTTCAAGGAATCCTGCAGTACTTCTTGGCTTCTGGGTGTCTCTTTAAAGTCCCTACCGTAAATCTCTGAGACAGACACTTAGCTTCGGGGTCAGTCAATTTACTCTTTCCTACATGTTGTCATTTTGGTTACCACCTGGGCTGTAAGTCATATTCAGGCCTCGCATTCCTGCAAGTAGGAAAAGAAATCGAAGACTGCACAGCCACCAAAGCTTCGACCCTATAAACTGTGGCGAGAGAATTCCATACCTGCAGAGTGAGTGAAAATGACAAAGAACTCTTCAAACTTCAAAGTTGAAAGGAACAGATCGATTCCAACTGGAGGGTCAGTCTGACATTTTTCATTCCATGTATTGGCAGGTCCATCGTGTTGAACATGTTCAGAGTAGCCCCAGGGGGAATTGTCTGCTGCTGAGAAGCACAAGCAGAAGGATGTTTTGAACAAGTTAATACTTTAAAAGTGCTTCAGGTGAGTCTGGGAGAAAAAACAGTCCAGATTCTTCACTCCTTAAAATGGACACTAGCAGACTAGCCTTGAAATAGATGAAATAGGGTATTTCATCTGACCCTGTTCAAGGTTGGATTGAGAATAAGTTAGATCTGGGTTCAAGTTGAAAATATAGATTCATATTTTGGCTCTCAAACCAATGAAGTTACTAAATGATGGGTTAAATAATTAAATATCACCAAGGATTCTCTTTTTGTTTACATGCTATCATCGATTTAATTTGGGTTGAATTGGTTGATTTCTTTGCCCAAACAATGCCTTGACAACTTTGGAATTTAAAGATATATATTATTTTTATAAAAAAAATAAAACAAAAAAATCACTTATTATTCCCAGGAAAACTGTGGATGTTTTGAAAGATGTTGAAGGGTGTTTGTAAAGAAAGAAAACATTTGTGACCAGGGTCCAGAAGCTACATGTGTGGGACTAAAAATGTTTTCTTTCATAAAAACCTCAGTTTCAAGGGAAATTGATGTTTCAAAGTTGAATGGTTCATCCTCAAAATTCTAGGGAAGTTCTTCTGAATTACCCCAGAAGCTAACCTTAATATTAAAAATCTCTAGGGAGTTCTAGAGTTCATGGGAAGTTTTCTCTATTTAATTTGGTTAATATCACCTCTTTCATTCTTTTATGCAAGCACCAAGTTCAGTGTTATATAAGTAGTAATAACCAGAGTTTCAGGCTTCAGTAAATATAAGGCCTATTAAATACAAACTAAGTGAGGTTCATTGCTTTTGCTACTTAATAAGTATTTAGCTTAAAATAGTCACCTAATTTTTTTCTCTAGTATAAGACCTAGAATGTATTGTTAAAGACAATTAAAAGTTAGTTTCATGAGAAGATCAAATTTAGATGGTTAATATGCCCACACTGGAACTGGGAGATTGCTTTCTCAGAGGGAGCAAAAGTTTTTCTCTGTAATATATTGTTTTCAATAAAGAATCAGTCCCTGCATTAACTATTCCAATATTCATTACAAAGGAAAGCATAATAAAACATATCTTGTCAGATTAAGAAGCTCCTGAATCAACCTTCAGAAGACAAAGTGGAGCTTCTGAATAAACAGATTATATTATGTAGTGCAATGCTAGCAGGCAACCTTAATTATACTTTCTCCTAGCATGTGATAGTAATTCCCATGAATTATTGTGAGTAAACATTGGGATGGCAACCAACAGAATAACTTTTAAAGTAGTCACGTTGCTCTTTTACTTTGCTCTTATGGTTAAAAATACCTAGTTTTTATCATTTTCCTTAGTTTGATCTGACTCATATTTGATTTTGTAATCTTATCAAGAATAAATCCCTATCTAATCAATGAAGCACAGAAAGAAAGTAGGGAAAGCACAACTCATAGTTTTTCCCTGTGAAAATGAGAAGCACCATTTCTGCACAGACAGAAGAGAGGTTGAGGACCTGTATGTATATTTTTTGTGCGGTCATACTGTGTGAGGAAGGCGAGCCAAACCCATCTCCTAGCCTCAGTTTTCCCATGTGTGAAAATGGGAAAATTGGAGTTGGCAAGATCATCTAAAGTAATATAAAATACTCTAAGTGAGACAGGCCGGGACCTGGGACGCTTCAGGGCAGTGCTGCAATGCTTTCGCCTGGACACACCTCTCCTCCAGCAACAGAATACAAAGCTGTATGGGCCTAAAAATAACTGTGTACACGCACACTTGGGGCAGGTTCTGGACCAAGAGATATACATATATATATGTATAAAAAAATCCAACTGCCATTTCTGAAGAGCCAGGAACAAAAGCTGAAGGTAGGAGCAAAAGCAGGGTGCAGTGCTTGCCCCCCTGCACTCAACACCACAAAGGGGTGAGCAAACTACGTAAACCACCCCTCCGGCCTGACCTTTGGGATACACCCCTCTCCTCACCTCATATAAGAAACACAGAGGGAAAGTAGTCATGTACTAATGTGAGAGTTAGACAATAAGGAAGGCTGAGTGCCAAAGATGTGGTGCTTTCAAACTGTGATGCTGGAGAAGTCTCTTGAGAGTCCGTTGGACTGCAAGGAGATCAAACCAGTCAATCCTAAAGGAAATCAACCCTGAATATTCATTGGAAGGGCTGATGCTGAAGCTGAAGCTCCAGCACTTTGGCCACCTGATGCGGAGAGCTGACTCATTGGAAAAGACCCTGATGCTGGAAAGACTGATGTCAAATGAAGAGGGAGACAGAGGATGAGATGATTAGATAGCATCACCGACTCAGTGGACATGAGTTTGAGCATCTCTGGGAGACAGTGGAGGACAGGGAAGCCTTGTGTGCTGTAGTCCATGGGGTTACAAAGAGTTGAACACAACTTAGCGATTCAACAACAACAAGGGGGAGTGAGAAGGGACCCTACTGGTTGTTTTTGCTCCCTCCTGCAGCCGGTGCAGTAGCCGCAATAATGTCTTGCTTGAATTTCTTGTCTGGCCTGTAGTCAATGTCTATTGCTTGGGGAAGACCAAGAAGCCTGGTTGGTATCATTACTATGTATTATGCACAAAAGTATTCCTGAAAGTTTTCATTGTAAATCCAGATTATGTGAATAGAAAATTAAATTCACTAGCTGAACTGATTATAGGAAATGTCATGGATTAATAATCTTCCTATGAAACAGATTTTATCTCTCACGCTTCTTTAAAACATAGCAAAAACCATCAGATGTATAGAACAGACTTGTGGACTCTGGGAGAAGGTGAGGGTGGGATGTTNTGAAGTCACCAGAAATATCTTCTAGCCAGCAGTTTCATTTCAACATTTCTGACACGTACTGTCTAAAATGTGACCAACATAATATGATGATTGCTTTCTGAACTAAAAGTGCTATTTCCTCTATAAAAGCCCCCTTTATGAGCAGATAATCTATGACAAGCTTGACTTTTTAAGGTAATTTCTTAATGTGACAACCTTGCCACAACTAGCCTATTCCCCCCACCCCCCAATCTATAGGACTGTAATCAATCTGGATATTTAAGTCTTCTTATTCTTACATCAAATAAGATGTTCTCACATTAATGATTTTATTTAAATTTAGATTGTTTTATTCTTAAATAGGCACTATGTTTACATGATTCAGAATTCAAAAGGCATAAAGAATGTTCATTGAAAATTCTCTCTTCACCCCATCCTTCTTCAGCCACCCAGTTTCATTTCCTGAAAACAATGCCATTCTTTCTTTTATTTTTATTTTTGGTTGTACCACGTGGCTTGTGAGATCTTAGTTGCCTGACCAGGGATCAAACCCAAGCCCTCAGCAGTGACAGCAGGAAGTCCTAACTGCTGGACTGTAGGAAAACCCCTGTCAGTAGTTCTTTGGGGATTCTTCCAGAGAGACTTTATGCGGCATATACAAGGTGGCTCAGTGGTAAAGAATACACCTACCAATGCAGGAGACGTGGGTTCGATCCCTGGGCTGGGAAGATCCCCTGAAGAAGGAAATGGCAACCCACTCCAGTATTCCTGCCTGGGAAATCCCGTGGACAGAGGAGCCTGGCGGGCTACAGTCCTTGGGGTTGCAAAAGAGTTGGACACCACTTAGTGACTAAACAACAGCAACATAGATATAAATAGACTATACGCTGGGGACTTTCTAATCAGCCATGTAGGATGGGTCTCAGCGTTACCCGATTTCCCGGGTGATGTCAAGGCCCTCATCCTTCCACACCGTGCATGCATCAGAATGGCTGAGTCGTTTCCACAGGTGTCCCAGGCAGTAGCAGCAGCAGCAGAGAAGCCCGAGGACAGAAAGCGTTAAGTGGGTGGCGTGGCTGTGGGCAGGCCTGAGAGGCTGCCCAAAGTGGCTCCCGAGCAACGGCTCACAGCGAAACAGCACAGCCACGAGGACAGGGAGAAAGGCTCTAGAGATGTCCAACACACTGACCGTTTTGCATGAGTATGCACAGTCCATCAGACTTTGAGAGGTGGTGGTACTGAGATTCTAGTATGTACTCAGATTTTAATACATTCACATAATTCTAGAAAGAGATTCATCTTGAGAATTTTCATTCCATGGACTTGTTGTCCTATTAGACGTTCCTTGTAGGCATTTGTGTGTGTGTGTGTGTCTGTGTGGTAAAATACACACAACTCAAAATTTAACTTTTTTTTTTTTTTGGCCATACTGTGCAGCTTGTGGGAGCTTAGTTACCAGATGGTGGTGGTTTAGTTGCTAATCGTGTCCGACTCTTGCAACCCCATGGACTGTAGGTCATCAGGTTCCTCAGTCCATGGGATTTTCCATGGACTAGAGTGGGTTGCCATTTCTTTCTTCAGGGCATCTTCCAGACCCAGGGATTGAACCTGAGTCTCCTGCATTGCAGGCAGATTCTTTATTGACAGAGTTACCTGAAAGCCCATAATTCCTAGACCAGGGATCAAACCTGTGCCCACTGCATTGGAAGCATGGAATCTTAACCACTGGACTTTTAGGGAATTCACTAAAACTTAAAAAAATTTAAATATCAAAGACACACACATACACACGTATAATCACAGATGCTTAGTGAATAATTTGTGTAAATCTGTTTCAGAAATTCAGAAGAGATATTTCTGTGGACCAGTAATAGTGGTGGTAATACAACAAATCCCAGGAATAAGATTTTGTGAGAAAGAAGAAGAAAGGAAATATAGGTTCTTGTTATTTCTTTCTTTTTTTTTTTTGGATAGGTAAGAATTGGATTTACGTAAAGAGAAACATACTTTACAGATAGAGTGTGGGCCATCTCAGAATGTGGAAGAGCCCTTTCTGAAAAAAATTAAGTGTAGCTGATTTACAATGTTGTGTTACCGTTTCAGGTATATAGCTTGGTCCTGGTTAGTTATCTATTATATATATGGTAGTGTGAATATGTTAATCCCAAACACCTAATTTATCCTCCTTTTTCCCCTTTGGTAACCATAAGCTTGTTTTCTATGATTTCTATTTACCACTTTAACCATTTTTAAGTGTACAATTCAATAGCATTAAGTACATTCACATTGTTGTATGACCTCGTAAGTTTTTGTAGAAGAAATGCATGGTAGGCAGTTTCAAATTTTTGCTCATGTTGAAAGTTGCCGTTTCATGCCTTATTTTTCATTTAGACTCCTGCTGTATTAAAAGACTTTGACGTCTTTCCGTGAATTTGCCTTCTGCAGATCTATAGAATGAAAATCACTGAAAGATGGTGTCGTGTCTGGTATTGTAGAATGTCAGAAATGGCTGAAAATTTACAGGAGCAAAAATAATTTGAAATGGCCATCGTTTTACTCATCACTTTGAAAGAAGTGCCAAATTTGGAAGTATCAAATTAAGCCATTCAAGGAATATTATTAGAAAACATCATCATAACTTTTGTATACAATGCTTAAGGCAGAGTTTCTTGACTTTGGCACTATTGACATTTCAGGTTAGATAATTGTTTATCATGGGGCTGTAGAATGGCTAGCACTGTTCCTAGTCTCTACCTGCTAAATGCTGGTAGCTCCTTCCCCCAGTTGTGACAATTAAAAATGTCCCCAGAAGTAGCCAAATGTCCTGGGAGGCGGTAGCAAAAATGCCCTTCTTTTAGAACCACTAGCTTAAGAGAGTGCATGTAGGGAAACCCTGATTTAGTGTATCATGTCTAGAACTAATCCCAATGCCAGTTGCATCCAAAGATTACAGGGGGATGCAGCATGGTTGAAATATGGAAATAATTTTATACCAGTTGCTAAATAGCTGTACATCTCTCTTTTTCTCCCTTGCCTTTGGCTATTCTTCTTTCCTCAGCTATTTGTAAAGCCCCTACCCTTGCTGTTTGGAAGGAAAGGTATGACAAATCTATATAGCATATTAAAAAACAAAGACATCACTTTGCCCACAAAGGTCTGTATAGTCAAAGCTATGGTTTTTCCAGTAGTCATGTATGGATATGAGAGTTGGACATAAAGAAGGCTGGGTGCAGAAGAATTGAGGCTTTTGGATCATGGTGCTGGAGAAGACTCTTGAGAGTCTCTTGGATTGCAAAGAGATCAAACCAGTCAATCCTATAGGAAGTCAATCCTGAAAATTCATTTGAAGGACTGAGGCTGAAGCTCCAATACTTTGGCCACCTGATGCAGAGAGCTGACTCATAGGAAAAGACCATGATGCTGGAAAAGACTGAAGGCAAATGCAGAAGGGGTAGCAGAGAATGAGACGGTTGGATGGCATCACCACCTCAGTGGGTCTTCCCAGCTGGCCCTTGTAGTAAAGAATCTGCCCGACCTTGCAGGAGACTTAAGAGACACAGGTTCGGTCCCTGAGTCAGGAAGATCCCCTGGAGGAGAGCATGGCAGTTCACTCCAGTATTATTCCCTGGAGAATCCCATGGACAGTCGGAGCCTGGCAGGCTACAGTCCATAGGGTTGCAAAGAGTTGGACACGACTAAAGCAACTTAGCAGGCATGCACGCATGCACCGACTCAGGGGATATGAATTTAAGCAAACTCTGGGGGATAATGGAAGACTGAGGAGTCTGGCATCTGACAGTTCATGGGGTCACAAAGAGTTGAACACGACATAGCGACTGAACAACAACAAATAGGTGTTGGTCTTAGATCTCCAAATTCTTCTTCCACCCTGTGCTTTCTCCTCTGCATGACATACTTCCCACCTCCCCTGTACTCCGGGATGTCTTTTCTATTATTAAGTTGTATTAGCTACGATTACTTATTAATGTTATTATTTATTTTATTGTCACCCCTTTTGGACAACTTAGAGGAAACTGGGCTCACCACACCCCTGTATTCACAGTTGAGTCCTTGGACAGAAGGTCAGTTTACTCCCTTTATTTTGTTCTTTTGAAAGACAAATGCTATATATTTCCCTGTTCGACACATCATCCCTCCTCAAAAATGATTGATCTACCTTTATCACTGAACATGTATTAAACATTATTCTGGCTGGAGTTTTGTTTTAAGATGAGCTTGTTTTGAGAATCAATGGAGAGATACCCAGAGAGAAATTGCTACATACACTTACAATGTAAAACTTGCTCCAATTGAGAAGATAACAAAAGCTTTGTCAACTTGCTCATAATAGAGTCAGTGATAGACAGTGCTTGGAATTCATCCTCATGATACCTGAGTCATTTATTGACAAGCTGCTTCTGCTTCTCCACAGATTTAGAGACACTGACAAATGTATTTTTTAAATAATTTCCATGGATCTAAGCCTACATTCTTAACTGCAGGATTATTGAGCATTTAAATATTTTCTTGTGCTTTCCATGACTTTCAAAGAATTCTTTTTTGTTTGAATCTGAAACAATTCACTTCTGCTTCTGCCTGTCATTAAGAACTATTGACCAGTTTTCTGAAACTTCAAAAATTAAAAACCCTCCTTAAAATGTGTGAAAGCAAAATTTTGTACTGTCAATCAGTTCAGTTCAGTTCAGTCGCTCAGTCGTGTCCGACTCTTTGTGACCCCATGAACCTCAGCATGCCAGGCCTCCCTGTCCATCACCAACTCCCGGAGTTTACTCAAACTCATGTCCATCGAGTCAGTGATGCCATCCAGCCATCTCATCCTCTGTCATCCCCTTCTTCTCCTNCTTGAATTGGCTTAGCTTGACTGTGAAAGTTTGTGATTTTGTTTACTTAACAGCCATAAAATTCAACATCTTCCCAGAAGAAATCAGTTCAATCCAATGTAGAAGTTAGTCTGGGAGTCCAAAGAGAGATGAAAGTGAATCACATGTGTAGTTGTTGAGAGATATGGCTCTATGAGTTTACCTTATGAGACTAGTACCAACTTCATAACTTACCTGACTTTGGTTTAAGTTTCTGCCTTAGAAATTCTGATAAAGAACAGTGATGGCATTTAAAGTATTACATTATTTTTATCACATTCGGTGACAGAGAAAACATAGCCTCATTTCATAGTGCTTCTTCTGATGGAGTTATTTTTGAATTCTTTTTCTCCATCTGCTTTTGAGATGCCAGAGCCCAGGTGAAGCACAGTTTGGTTCTGGGTTTGAAGTGAGAGGGTTTCCAGAAATGAGGCCCACAGCTCTCATTTAAAGTGACTCCAGCTGGGCATAGAACATTCTCCTCCAGTGGAATGACACTCAGTCCGGGGCTGGATCTGGGATCTGGGCCAGGAGACAGCTAAAGACACACTGGACTCGAATTTTTGGGTCCTGGGCAGTTCCATCCCTTGTGGGAGAGACCATCCTTCTTGACTTTCTCTCCCTCTGCCCCCTTCCCCAATTCTCCTATAAAGCCCAGAGGACAAAGCCAAGTTGCTTTCGAACTTGTCTTATGTGTGGACTCCCTGTAACTTTTTGAGGGGAGAGGTAGGGGTGTAGCGGGGCAAGAAACCAAAATTTATTAAACGCCTACAATATTCTGGTGCCATATGGAACTTCTTGAATCTTTATAACAACACCGTGAGATAGTATATTGGTCCCTGTTCTCCAGAAAACAGAACCATAGGGTATATATGTATGTATATTTCACTATTGTTGTTTAGTCGATAAGTTGAGTCCGATTCTTTTGCCACCCCATGGACTGTAGCCCTCCAGGCTCCTCTGTTCGTGGGACTTCCTAGGCAAGAATCCTGGAGTGGGTTGTCGTTTCCTTCTTCAAGGGGTCTTTCCAACCCAGGGATTGAACCCATGTCTCCTACATTGGCAGGAGGATTCTTTACCACTGAGCCACCAGGGAAACCCAATATATATATGTATATAGGTATATATACATACATAAAGGATATATACACACACATATTAAAGCATTTTAGAGCCTTATAAATTCTTCATCCTCTAACCTCTTTTCAAGGAAACCAGAATATTCTGCTTTTGATTGGCTAACTCTTAAGACATTGAGTGCTTTGGCAATTTCTATATGCAGGTCAATTCATTTTTATTCTGCACGTACTGAGGAGCTTGTGCATTCCTTCATGTCCACTCAGAAATATAAAATGGGAAATTAAAAAAGTCAGAAATCAAAAGGCATTACTTCATTAGAACATAATCATTCAACCCCTAAATCATCATGTTTTGGCTCTGAGTTAGGAAATAGCATCACTGTTTCAGAAAAAAAGAATTTTTATGGCAGAGACAGCAGTTTTCTTTAAATGTCCATATTTATCTTCTTTCATTTGACTCATCTTACAAGGATAGCTTTCAGAGAAAACTGGAAAATGCCATGAATTATTGACTCAAGGGAAATGCTAATCTTACATTGAGAACCACTGTGGTTATTTTCAAATTTGATGTCCTTTGAATGTCTTATGTAGGTAAGGGATTAAAATCTGGTAATTGATATAGGAAACATTTGAATGGTTTGTAAATTTTATTTTGTAATGGACTCATTTGGGGATGAAAAATGATTCATACTCATAAATATATGATGGATTCTCTGGACATCACCTCCATATCTATCTGTTATTATGAATGCTTAAGTGAACATGAGACACACACTAAATTACTCATCATTGAAAATGTAAAAACTATTAGATATTCATAGCAATAAACTAAAAGTTTCTACTTTCAGAAGTGTACAGCCTCCTTAAATTCATTTTAAAGGGAACTTATGGTCAAATCCTATTTCTCATTTTCACTTCCCATCTGCCAAAAACATGCACAAAAGAATGCTAAATGTATTTTGTAAATTACAATACCTTTAGGAAGTAAAAGGCCCCACATCACATGGCAGCTCTGGCAAA